ATTATCCAGGTAAGTTGTGGAGGGCGCGGTGCGGGCGGATGATTTCTGTCCGTCCCGTAAGGCGGGACCGGTTGTTCAAGGTAAGTTGTGGGTCCTTGGCGGAGGGCGGCGCGGCTAGGGGATCGTGGCACGCATGTTCGGTGTCGTTCCCGTCTGCGCCACCATATACGGTCGGGAGCTTTTTGGTTAGCGTGTGGCTCCGCCAGCTCTCGCCCACCATCATGCCACACGCCCCATGCGTCGACGTCTCGAGTTTTCCCGAGCCCCCCACCCCGTGGAAAGCTTGCAAGTTTCAATCAAGCGTTGCTTCCACGGTGTCGCTGTGTATACCTAGTTCTTGCCGTTTGCTTCCAGGGAATGCACACGAATCAATCCGCGGCGGTATACAAGAACGAGCTACGACCAGACCTGACGTCACAGGCACCACTACAGCATTACTCACATCAATGCTCACCATCATCGTCACCACCATAATCATGTGCGTCGTCATCCTGCACAACCATCATCGTCGCTGTCGTTTCGAATGTTTCCATGGCTATCATTATCAACACCCTCGCTGCCATCATATTCATCATCACCACAATCACCTTCATGGACACCATAACCATGAATGTCATTATGATTTCGGCTGCGGGAGGTGGGCAGGTTATAAATGCGTTCCCGCGGAGGGGAGGCCAGAAATGTAAGGCACAATACGGAGCATGTACTCCTAATTCTCTCCTTTGCGTTGTTTTAGGCCCTCTCTAGCCCGGCTTTTCCAGTTCATCCATCCACAAGGCGCTACATTGTCGATACTTCCTTTTCAAAGCGGGCATTTTGCCTGCAACGTTGCAAGATGCGCGGCAGGAATGATATGCAGCGCGCATCGCGCGCAAAGTTGTAACATGTTCTTATCGCCCTGCCGCTGCTCTGATGACCATGATCCTGTTTGCTTTGATTTTCTGTACGGCGCCCGTCTCTGCTGGCTAGATCGTCGGAGTGGGTGCTACGCCAGGAAGCGACATGCTGCTCTCGCCAGTGCGCCACGCACGTGTATTCTGAACGTCGCGTTCCCTCTTGCGCGGCGCATGCTTTTCCGTCTGCAAGCTGGGGCGCGCGCCAGCGACAAGACTATTGTTTCTACTGGTGCCGGTACCTTCTTGGCCCCTGCGCCCCTCTTCCGCCGCTCGTGGTGCACGTTAGCAGCCACGCAACTCGGGGATGTCCAAGGGGGGGGGGGAGGACTGGGGGATGTGGATTTCACGGCCGAGGCCATGAAATCTCGCGGGTTTTACGCCCCCTGTTTTCCCATTTCCCCTGGCCCCGCCCTCCGTCCGCGCACATGCCTCGGGCCGTGATGCACACACCCCTATTCTTTGCCCCCCTCTTCGGCGCAGCCGAGTAATGCTGTTCTGAGGTCAAGGGGTCGTGCGTCCTCTCGGAGCCTTCTGCCAAGGGAGGAAAATCACCTGGAACCCCATACTTGGTGTTTCCTAGACCCTGGCATCGCTCGGACGTGTGCATTTTTTCTCGGCGAGAACCATCGAGGAGCATCCTTGATCACTTGGCGAAAAAACCACGCACGAAACCGAAAAACACAGGGAACGGACGTCCGAGCGATGGTGAGAAACTGCCCTAGGCGTTTACGAAACAGGTCGGTCCTGTTCGATTCCTGCCGTGCGTGCGTTTGCGAAGCGGCTTCGTGTATCGGGGTGCTTCTTAACTATTAGGGTGATGTTTCTTCTCTCTACAGGTGTCGTGCGTCCTGTCGGGGCCTTCCGGGGTGCTGCCTTTGCTCCCCACTTCCTGGAGGAGAGCAGTGGCGGCCCCTCCAGCGTCCTCGTCCTCCCCCCGCTTCCAAGACGAGAGCAGCTGTTCTGAGCCCAGGAGGCCGTGCGTCCTCTCGAAGCTCTCTGGGGCGCTGCCTGTGCCCCCCACCTCCACGAGGAGAGCAGCGGCGGCGGCTCCGGCTGGAAGCTCACGGGGGCCACCGTGGGCGAGCAGGCGGCATCGCCTTCGGAGCCGAAGCGGCGGCAGCACATCTTCATCTCGAGCCAGCCGGCAGGGCGGGAGAGCTGCCATGAAGAGAGTCTAGCCTCGTCGTCGCCCTCCTCGTCCTCATCCTCCTCCTCATCCTTCTCCTTCTCCTTCTCCTCTTCCTTCTTCTCCTCCTCCTCCTCCTCCTCCTCCTGCCCTTTTCCTCCTCCCCCTCGCCCTCCTCTCCCTCGTCCTTGATTGGGGGGGGATTTAGCGGGGGGAACCATCTCACACGCCTGGAGGTCGACGAGGAGTCAGCCGATTCGGACGCTTCTCGTAGTCTCTTTGGCGTCTAGAGGCCTCTCGTCGCCACGGCTGGTTTGCCTTTCACTTGAGTGTTGGGCCCGGCGGGCGGATCACGTTAACCCCCGAGCCAGGGGACGGCACGCTGGGGCTCTGCGTTGGACCGGTTTCTTCACGGATGTTTCCAAGCATGTCGTTGTTCAGGTGTGTCTTCGTTCTTTGTTTTTTGCCGATGCGCAGCGAAGGCCAGATTTTGTTCACTCGTGCTACTCCCTCCATTTCCAGAGGTTCACAAAGCGAGGACCGACAACAACTTTTGGATCACATGCATCTGCATGTGTATGTTGTGAATGACGCCGCGACGCCCGTCACGCGTCTCAGAGGCTGTTAGCGTTGAGCCCCCGCCAGCACTTAAGCGCGGTCTCTCAGGGGGTGGAAGACGAGCAATAATCGAACTTCCATGAGCAACGCCTGGGCATCGTTTTCAGACGGGGTAATGGGACGCGCGACACGTGAAAGGTATGGAAGACGAATCTGTCCGCGAAGGGCCCCAACATGTTGAAGAGCCCGAGTAAGTCTCTGAACCCGACAGTGCAGGAAATCAAAAGGAACAGACGACACAAACAAGGGCCGACGACAAAAAAAGGGCCGACGACCAAAGAAACCCGACGACAATCAAAGGAGACCGACGACAAATTCAAACGACAGAACAAACAACTGCCAGCAACAATAACACGGCGGACGACAAAACCCGCCAGCGGTGCACAGCCGCGACAACATCCGAAGTGGCGACGACAGAGTGCTTCGGGAAGACGTGCAACCAAAATTGCGGAAGCGCCGCCCGCATGCTAAATTCATGGGGGGTGTTGGCCCCGGGGCAAAGTTGCTACGCAGCCTGGCCAGGCCAGTTGTCGTCGCGCGTTCCGCGCGCCCGCGCCGGGGTTTCCCCGTGAGCACTGACGCCTCCGCGCGCGCGACGGGACTGGCGCGCCCAGGAGATGCGCGCGCGGGCCGATGCCATCGCGCGCGCCTCCGCAGCAGGCGCAGCGCCAGGCGCGCGTGCGCGCGCCAGGCAACGCGCGCGCGTGCGTCAACCGCACGCGTGCCAGCGGCGCGAGACGAGCCTGGCGCGCGCCGCTGGCACGCGCGCGGTGGGGATGGCGCGCGCGCAACAAAGTAGCGATTCACCAAGAACAGCGCGTAGTCCGTCCGCGCTGCACACGGCGCGAGACCAGCGTCAACGCGAGAGCCATGGTTCGAGGAGGGCGGTTGCATCTGAGTTGACTTCACATCTCGTTCAACGCAGGTCGGCACGTTTCAGTTGTGAATTCATTTAATAAGCGCAAGGTTTGCTTTGAACAATTTGTGTGTGGATCCTGTCCGGTAGTAATGAGGAGGTGACTCGTGGCCCTTCCCCGACCCGGGATCGCAACAAAAACCAGCTTCAGGATACAGAGCCAGTCTTGGTAAAAGTCCCCAAGGCCCAGGGCTTAGTTTTACCAGGCCCCCTCCCCATCGTGCCGATTTGAGGTGTCATTTTGCTTCGTAGCGGTCCCAACATACTCGATCCGGGCTCTTGTCCCGCGTTGGGCCCGATGGATGGCCTTCGTAGATTGGCCTTCTCGTCAGATCGGTGGCGCTGGTCATGTAATGAGTTTTGTCACGTCGTCGTGTTGTTGTCCAAACTTCCTTTGGTTGGGTCGTCGTTCTGAGTCGAAGAACTGTTTTGTTTCTGTCGTTTGCTATCCCTCGTCGTCTCCTGTCCTGGCTTATTCCACCTCTCCCTCTTCCTCCTTTCTTAGCTTCGCATGTTCGTACCCACTTTGGGATACCTCTCTTCCTTCAGGCAAGTGCTTGTGCGAAGCAACTGGTGCTTGTCTCCGTTTCAACTCTGTTCACTGATTTTCTGTTCTGGCTCGTTTTAGTTCTTTCCCAGGTCCCGCACTACCACTCCCCATCTTCACTTACTAAATATTAGTTTCCTCTCGTTCCCTTCCCCTCGCCGTTTGTCTCCTTGTGTTCTTTCTTCGTTTCTCTGATGTTGCCTGCGGGGGGGTCCTGCCAAACTGGCAACTGTTGCCAATTTCCTGCGCCCCTTCGGTAATCCAGCGGAGCACGGCAATTCGAGGCCCGAAATAGCAGCATTGCAGTCCTTGTTTGCTGCCAAGCGCATAGCCGTCGCCACGTGTTTTTTGTTTCTCCCACGGGGGGGCCAGTGGCGTGCGGTACTGCGCATACACACGTGCTATTCCTCGAAGATCCTGGGTGTTCCCGCACGCTCCAGGTGCTCGCCATTGTTCGGCGTCTATGGTGGTCCTGGCGGAGCGCAGCATTACCCGCACCCACTCATGACTGCCTCCTTTCTGGGAGCCGCGGAGCGTACAGCTAATGCTACCCGTGGTGCTGCCAAGCACACAGCCCTTGCAGCTTCTCTGCCTGCGCCCTCTGGCGAGTCCGGTGGATGGTGGTTACCGCGCAGACTCAGTGAAGGCAGCGGCACCTCCCCTCGGGTGCTGCCAAATTCACGTGTGACGCGTTTTTCCTTCTTTCCCTGCGAAGCCTAGCGGAGTGCCGTAAGACGTTCCCCGTCTGGGAATTGCCAGGCTGCCATTTTCTCGCGCCCCTTGTGTGTTCAGCGGAGTGCTGTCGTACGCAGGTCTAGCTAATTAACTGTCGCCGCCCCCCCCCCCCCGGGGCGTTGCCAAGCGCATCACCTTCTACTCGCTGCGCAATGACTCCAGTGTGATGTTGCGCAGCGACGCCGCAGGGGTTGCCGACCCATCTTATGCCCATACGCTGTGCTTTCTCTACGCCGTCCCCCTTCCGCTCATGTCGTCGACGCTTGCAGCCATTTTACCTCCGCCCCCTGCTCCTCCCTTTGATCTTGAACCGGATCGCCCGCAAGTCAGTATTGCCTGGCGTTTCCCCTCATCTTCCATCCTGCTGCTCCTCACCTTCACCATCCTCATGCCCACTCATCTCCCATCCCTATTCTCCCTGTCCCCTCCTCGTCCTCCTCTATTCATCCTTCCTCTCCCTCCTTTCTATTCCTCCTCCTCGTCCACACTCTCCATCCAATCCTTCCCTCGTCATCGCTGCCCCCTCCCCCCTCTCGTGCACGACGGTCTCGGGCAGGGCGTCGGCAAGACGACCCTGGTCCAGAAGCTCCTGGACATGCTGCGCAAAGAGGAAGGGGAGACGGGAGTCGCCGTCGCCGGCTTCTACACCGAGGAGGAGGGGAGGGGGGGAGGGGGCGGGGGGAGTTTTGCAGCGAATGCGGAAGGGGGGGCGGGGATGTGAAGCAGAGGAGCATGATGAGAAGCAGAAGGGGCAGGGGGACCAGGAAGAGGAGGGAGATAAGGAGGAGGAAAAGGTGGCGGAGGAGGAGGAGACGGAGGAGGAGACAGGTGATGCAGGAGGGGATCGGAGATGGGAGGGAAGGGAATGCACGGGATGGGAGCAGAACGAGGTTATACGTTGAGCGCTGAAAGCAGGTGTTTTTGGATCCCCGGGTCCCAATCTACTTCAAGCGCCTGCCTACTTCAAGAGTCGATATGCTTTTGCTGTGTTTTGTTATTCTCTGGGAGGGCCCGAACCCAATCTACTCTATCCGCCTTCCTACTTCATGTCCGTACCTTCTCCTTCCAACCGGCGTGTACGGTCAGAAACGTTTGCTCAACGTGTCGTGGCGCCGGTTCTGGCCCACCACGCTTCGGCGCGACATGCTGCGCACGTCCAGGTCCCCAGGCGTCAGCTCTCCGAGCTTTTCCCAGCCTTGCGCCGCGCGGAGCGGAGCAGCAAGCTATCCGCTTGCAGGGTATGGCGTGGCGCGAGGCCGACGCCGCGACACGAGCAACAGACCCTGACCGTAGGATGGGAGAGGATGACATGGGAGGGAAGGGGGTATGACGGGTGAGGAGCACATGCTCGTCCCTTTCTTCCCCCTGCTCCATCCTCGCCCTCCTCCCCCTTGGCCCTCCTCCCCCTCTTCCTTCCCCTCCCCCTCCTCTCCTCTCATCTTCCCCCCGTCTTCCCCCTCCCCCTCCTCGCACCCCTTCGGCGACTTCGGATCGTAAGCGTCGTTGTCGTGGCCGTCGCCGTCGCCGTCGCCATGGCCGACGCCAGGGCCGTCGCCGGAGGAGGTGGTCGAGGTGGTCGTGGTTTCGCCGTCGCCGTCGTCGTCGTTGCCGTCGCCGTCGTCCTGACTGCAGCTGCAAGCGGCAGGCGGCCTCCCGGCGTCGCGGGCGCGCCCCGGGGCGGGGGCGGGGCCGGGACGCCCCCAGGGCGAGGCGGTGTGCCTCCTCGTCCTCGTCGCCGCCGCCCGCCTGCTGCCTCCTCCTCCTCGTCCTCCTCCTCCTCCTCCTCCTCGTCCTTTTCCTCCTCCTCCTCCTCCTCCTCCTCCTCCTCCTCCTCCTCCTCCTCCTCCTCCGTCACACGGTGCTCGGGGAGCAGGGCGAGGCCAGGAGCGCCCTCCGCCGTCCCGAGCACCAGCGGGCAAGACGAGCTCTGCTTGTACGATCGTCTCCTCCTCCTCCTCCTCCTCCTCCTCCTCCTCCTCCTCCTCCTCCTCCTCCCCCTCCTCCTCCTCTTCCTCCCTCTCCTCCTCCTCCTCCTTCTCCTCCCCCTCCTCCTCTGTACAATGGTTCCTGTTTCCTGGTGGCTCCAGGGTCTGTTAGACGCAACCATCCCCCCCGGGGTCGCTTGCCCTTGGGGGGGTGGTTGCCCAAGGGGGGGATCGAATTAGAGCGGCAGGCAGCGAACTCGCCGTGGAGACCCGGTAGGGCGCGATTCCTTCGGAGAAGAAGAGGAGACACACAAGGAGGCGAGGAGGAGGAGGAAGAGGAGGCAATGAGGAGGAAGAGGAGGAGGAAGCTGTTAATACCTACAAGGAGGCGAGGAGGAGGAAGATGAGGAGGGGTCGGTGAGCAGCGATGCAGCGGTGGCGTGGGCGTGCGGCCGAGGCCGCTCTCGCCCAAGGGGCCAGGCCAAAAGGGGGCTTCTCCCATGCCAGGAGAAATCCCCCCCAGCCGGCCCACAGTCCCAGGACGGAGATCCTCACCCGCCGAGGCAGGCGCAGGGTACCCAAGCGTGGAAATGGTTGGTGCCAGGGGGGGGGGTCCACCCAACGTGGGGGAGGTTTGCGCCTTTCTGGCGATGGCCTTGAACGGGGGGGGGGGGGGGCGAACCCACCCCACACTTGCGCTGGAAATGGGGGGGGGATTTCGGACCCCCCCCCTCCCTCCCCCTTTTGCGCTGAATGCAAACGAGGGTCAGCCAGAGCGTTGGATCTTGCAGGATCTTGCAGGGACAGGGTGGCATTGACCCGGGCTTGGGCGCAGGATCTTGCAGGATCTGCAGGATTCTGCAAGGCCTGACTGCTGGATGGACCCGGGTCAAATGATCCCCGGATGTTTTCTGCGCCGGAGAAGGTGGGTAGCGAGTAGGGAGTAGGGAGTAGGCCGTAGAGAATAGTGAACAGTGGTAAGCAAGTCGTGAGTAGCGAGTAAGTATGACCGAGTAGGGAGTAGTGGTTAGGGAGTAGCGGGTAGGGAGTAGCGAGTACGTGAGCAGGTGGGTAGTGAGTAGTGAGTGGTGAGTAGTGAGTACGGAGTAGCAGGTAGTGAGTAGTGATTACTGCGTACGGAGAAGAGAGTGGGGAGTAGTGGGTCGAATGTAGTGGGCAGTGAGCAATGGTAATGAGTTGTGAGTACTGGGTGCTGAATAGTGAGTATCGATTAGGGAGTAGCGACTAGGGGGGTAGTGAGTTGCAAATACTAAGTAATGAGTGGTGATTGGTAGTGAGTAGCGAGTAGGGAGTAGCGAGTAGTGGGTAGAGAGTAGTGAATGGTGGGTAGCGAGCAGTGGGTAGTGAGTAGTGGGTAGTGAGTAGTGAGTAGCGCGTTTGGGTAAATAATGAAACATGAATCGTTGGCATTGAGTAATGAGTGGTGAGTAGCGAGTACGGATTAATCAGTAGTGAGAAGAGGAGAGTGGGTAGTGAGTAGTGAGTAGTGGGTAGATGATGGTCATTGGTGAGTAGTGAGTAGCGAGAAGGGAGTAGTGCAAGTGATTCGTGTGTATAGTGAGTGGGGAATACGGAGGAGGGAGTACGGAGTAGGGAGTAGGGATTAGGGAGTAGTGGGGAGGGGGTAGAAAGTAGGGAGTATTGAGTACGGAGTAGCGAATATGGAGTAGTGAATAATGAGTATTGAATACTGAGTACGGAGTAGGGAGTAGTGAGTAGTGGTTCGTGTGTAGTGGGTAGTGAGTAGCGAGAAGTCAGTTGTGAGTATTGAGTAGTAAGTAGTGAGTAATGAGTAGTGGGTACTGAGTAGTGAGCTGTGTGACAAAGACAGGAGGGGTGTACGGATTCAGATTAGGGGTTCGGGTCGCGGCTTGGGGTCAGGGTTTGGTGTTAGGGGGTTAGGGTCTGGGGTTCGGGTTAGAGGTTAACTTCAGGGTCAGGGGTTGGGTAAGGGTGAGTTTTGGGGTTCAGGGTGGTCGAAGGTTGGGGGGTGAGATCGAAGTGGAACGGAGAGCCCCCCACCG